GATGGAGTCTCGTGCTATCACCCAGGCTGGAGTGCAGTGACATGATCTCGGCTCACTGCAACCTCTATCTCCCAGGTTCAAGCAATTTCTCCTGCCTCAGCCTCCCAAGTAGCTGGGACCACAGGTGAGAGCCACCATGCCCGGCTAATTAGCCAGATTCCTCCCTGTTTCTCTACCAACAGCTCACAGGCCAGGCCTCCAGCTCTGCCTCCCTGATGGAGACTGGCACTGCCACTCAGAGAAGAGACAAGGCCCTGCGCTGCCCTCCCACAGCCCACATTCTGGAGAGAAACAGCAAACAACTGGGGGACTTCCAAAGTGCAAAGAAATGTCACAAAGAAAATGGGGGGAGGGCATGGCCTCATCAGAGAGAGGACTAGAAGCCAGAGAGCTCTAACGAGGGGGCTGCAGAACCTGGAGGGAAAGTGCTGTTGCCCAGAGAAGCAAGAGAGCCAGGGCCCAGGGCAGAAGGGAGCTGAGGGAACTCAAGGAATGCAAAGGCAATGAGGTCGGAAGCAGAGCAGCTGAACAGGAGAGGTGCCGGGGGCAGGACCAGTAGTGGCCAGGCCTGACCGCCTCCTCTTCAGTCTATGCCGGCAGGTCAGACGTGCATCCTGGCCACGTTTCTATGGGAGATGTGAAGGAGATGGCAGTGATGCCAGGAGGGAGGTACGGAGGAGTGCCACATGCAGTACCCACTAGACAGCTACGTGGAGACCCCAGGCAGCGAGGAGCACAAGTCCAGCGCTCAAGTGAGACGTGGAAGCTGGAGCTGCCAGGCTACGACGCCCACCCTCCCTCCAGCCCGCACGTCATCTCCACTGGAACCTCAACTCTGGCCTTGTCGTTCTCGGCATCCCACCTTCCTGGCCCTCGTTCCAGCCCATCCAGTCAGCCTGCATGAGGGCCAGTTCCACGATTCTGTGGGGACAAGCGCTCTCAGAGCACCACACATCACAACACTGACATGCAGGAGACAGCCAAGCATGTGCCGTTCTACTCCATCACAACCCTCACGAAACAAAAGCGCTGCCCAGCTGAGGGGACGGCTGGCACCTGCCAACTGCTCGTAACGACAAGGACCTCGCTTCCCTTGGCCACCGCAGCTGAGCAGGACACCTGGCACCTGCCAACTGCTCGTAACGACAAGGACCTCGCTTCCCTTGGCCACTGCAGCTGAGCGGGACACCTGACACCTGCCAACTGCTCTTAACGCAAGAACCTCACTTCCCTCGGCCACTGTCCCCATGCAACACGCTTAGGGAGGGGCTCAGCATGAACACTGGAGAAAGAAGACTAAAGAATCATTTGGCCGGGCATGGTGGCTCACACCTGTAATCCCAGCACTTTGCGAGGCCACAGCAGGTGACTCACTCGAGCTCAGGAGTTCAAGACCAGCCTGGGAAACATGATGAGACC